ATTATAAAATTATAAAATTATAAAATTATAAAATTATAAAATTATAAAATTATAAAATTATAAAATTATAAAATTATAAAATTATGTGGACCAATTAAAAACCATTTATTAAGATTTACATTAAAAAACCTTTTATTAATACAGGTAGTTGAATCACTTAAAGGAATGTTTAAAACTTTCTATGTATTTTTTGATCAGTCAAGAGAACCAGCAGAGCGGGGCTTTGACTTTAGATCTGTGGATATAAATGGAGAACTTGATAAATTGTTAAAAAATGATTACGCTACAGATTTCGAATTTATGGTAAGTTATATTATTCTCTCAGATTATGCATATACGCATATATATATATTAAACATATATATATTTATATAAATAAATAAATAAATATATATATATATATATATATACCTATATAATTAATTAATAAAATACTTTGGTTTATAATAACAGACCGATGTAACGCAAATTATCATTGATCTTAAAGACGGTCATACCGATTTTAGATCTGCTTGTTACAACGCATTTTTCTTTCTTCAAGACATCTGGCTTTATTCAACTGTCGATTGTCATGGATCACAGGTAAAAAATGATACGTAAAAATATTGGTGAAATTTATTTATTAATAACAGATAAATAATACCTGATAAATAATTATATTTCTTAATAATAGATTATTAAAGTACTCCAAGATGATTTAGATTCCTCAAATGATAGGTGTGAGGTTACGAAAATTGATGGCAGACCTGCTTTAGAAGTAATTACCTCATATGCCAAAAACCATATCAGAAATTCCCGTGATCTTGGTGTAAGATTTAACCTGGCATTAGCGTCTCTCAAATTTACTAATGGTATTTTCGGCTTAAATACGAACCTTATCACTTCAAGTCAATTCACCAGACGTTTGACTTTACCGGATTCTGATAGTATCACTTATGAACTCAAATGTAATAATAGCGAAACTAAAACATTAAAAAGACTTTGGAGGATAGCTAATAATGCTTATAATACTCTTGCTTTCACCGATTCCAAAAGCTATTTTGATTCCATCTGTCTTGTAAACAAAACCCAACAACCTACTCCTTCTAATACCCAACAAAATTCGGAATTGACTATAAATTTATCAAATAAAAACATTCAAGTGGAAATTCCTGGTGATCAATTCGACAACTTTGATAATTTTACCATTTTTTATAAATTAAACGACACTGGTGTCATCGTCGTACCAACTTTCTTACCTCCTGCCTATGCGCTTGATCAAAATAAATATCAATCGGATCTTATAGCTAAATTTAAAAACTTTGCCCAATCCGGTGTTAAAAAAGTTAGTAATCAATTTATTCTTTAAATTCTTTAAATTCTTTAAATTCTTTAAATTCTTTAAATTTTTAATTTGTTATTAATCTTGCGCTAACATTTTATTTTAACATTAGGTTGTTCTAGATTTTAGTAGTAATGGAGGTGGTTTCATCCCTCTTGGTCAATTCTTTAACGAAATTTTTAAACAACAAAAGAATTTTACATTCCCACGTGATATTAAGATGAATGATGTCATGACATTCCTTATCGAACAAGCCGATAAACAAGGTCTTGGTCCTAAAACAATAAGTTTTTCCCCTAATCAAGAACAGTCAATATTTACTGGTCAACCTTTTAATAACGCTGCTGAATTTATTGGTGATAATAAATTCACAAGAGGTGGCGTAACTACTAAATTTTCAAATCTATTTTTTGATATATTAAACGAATCCGCTTTATCTGATTGGAAATCTCCTTGGACAAATAAGGACATTATCGTGCTTACTGATGGTTCTTGTGTATCTACATGCGCACAAACTGTTCAATATCTAGCTGAACAAGCTAAAATTGCTACCGTCTCTGTTGGTGGTTTTCATAACAGTACTATGTCTTACTCTTCATTCCCTGGTGGAAATGTTGTAACTGTAGCTGATTTCTATAGTCAGATAAATAACATCACAAGTAACACTACCGACCCAAAACCTGATATACCAAAAAACTTTGCAACTGACATTTCAATGTTTATATTTAAATTCACTTATAGTGAAACTCATGATTTGGAGTCTCATGATAAGATAAATGAATTTATGTACAGACCTGCTACCCATAGATTATTTTACGATGATGAAAGCATTGTTAATCCTAGCCTTTTATGGTTACAAGCTGCGAAATTCATTTCTTGAATTTTTTTTATTTAGTTTTTTAAACAAAAACTTTCCTAAAACAAACACTGTATATACTGCAGATACTGTAGATATTTATTTTTATTCACATAATTTTATTTATAATTATCATAAACAAGAATATTAGGTTAAATTATGGATATATTCTTACAAAAAAAAAGTATTCAAATATCTTGTATTACTTTATGAAGATTTTGGATTTTGATTAATTTATTTCAGTTTTATCATAGCATGTATTCAAACAAATTATATATAAAGTTATATGACGTGAATAATATAAAATTATATGACTTGAATAATATTGGATTTATTAAATTAAATCCTTGATCTAAATATATAACAATTGTAATGTTTGAAAGTATTGTTTTATCTCATCTGTGGATTATTTCGAGTATGTTAATATGCAATCGTTAATATGTATCGTTAATATGCAATCGTTAATATGCAATCGTTAATATTCAATCGTTAATATGTAATCGTTAATATGTAATCGTTGACATGTAATCATTAATTTATACTGATCCATCAAAGTTTTATTTTTGACATCAAGGTCGCTAGTATATTGCACTCCAAGATATCTTTTAAAAATTACTTGTAGTAATAATTCCAATTCAATGGCTGGTACAATGAGTTTTATAGAATATATAGATTTTTAGTTAAATGTTTAACAACAAATGTATTATTTTTTGAGCAATTAGAATATGATCTAGTGACTGCCTTGCTGCCTGATTTTAATAACTTTGTAGAAATCAAGTTGTATTATGTAGCAATAACTTGATAGTGCTGATGAACCAATTAGTTTTCATATTTTTAAATTAAACAGAATGAAATAAAGTGAGAAGTGATACTTGATAATAAATCTTATGAGCTTGAATTTATAGCAAAATTTAATTAGATCTCATTAAACATCAATAGAATGAATAGCAGTGTAATTGAAGCATTCTTTTATTATTACTAAATTTGCTTCTCAAAGTCGCAATAACAGGAAATACTTTTAAAAGAATTATAACCTTCTTATTGATTAAATATGGAAATACATTAGTCCAGAAGTTTTATATTATATGAAAAAAGAATAGAATGGTTGTGCAGTATTTGTGTCATAAAGATAGAGAACAGAATATGGTAAGCATTGTCATTAGTACTGGCTAAACTTTGAAAATCCATAACGTTGAAATGTGACAGTACTGTGATCAAATCAAAATATTATCAAAACGTAGAATCATTTTTTAGGTCAATCACGTATTTCTAATTTTTGTTTTTTAGAACAATCGCTTTTACATTAGATTTTAGTTTTTAATAATACAGTTAGATTCGTATTAACATAAGATGCATTATCTTTATTCAATATTACATTAAATTCCATGTTCTAATTAATTGTTATTTGAACGATTCATTAAATCAATAAACCCTTATTATATCAATAAATTTAAAGTGTCAGAATTAAAAACTCGGTGAATGATGATATTCTAAATTTTCTATCAATGATCGGATTATTATTCAACGATTTCACACTCTAAATAAGACTTCGAGACTTCAATTTTATTTACCGAATTCAACCCTACCCTCGAAAAATAACATGTAAATGAACATTTAAGTTTTGGCCTAGAAAAATTGTTACATCATTTATCGTGGTACGATTATTATAAAAATAGTTGATAACAATATATTAGCGTTAGTATTAGTAATTTATTCATTGTAGCAACTTTATCACAATCTTGGCACACATTTTCTGGATACTATATCATAATTTTATCGTCAACCAAATCAAAAATTGTACTGACATCGGATTTGAAGCTATGAAGAATCTAATATCTATCTAGCAACTATTGAGCACAAACCTGGTACTTAATATCAGAATGTACTGGTTTCTTCAGTTCTCTACATTTTGTAAGTTTCATCAGTTTCATCAGTTTTATTATTTTTTTATTTAAAGCTTTAATTTGCGAAAGACAAAACTGGGTTTCGCATAGAGTTTAGACAGTTTCATTTTCGGTTCCGATCAATTTACCGACAATAATTTCACCGAACACTCATTTAGCCGACATCACATTGGGTTAGGGTTAAGCATTTGATTAGTTGCAGGTATATATGTTTACTAAATTTCACCTGGCGTGATGTCAGTTAGATGAGCTGTCGGTGAAGTGATTGTCGGTAAAATTATACGGACTCTTTATTTTTCATATGCTAAAAAACTGACTGGTCCCAAACTTTAGTTTTGCGTTTCGTTAGTGTGAAGCCTATATTAAAGAGATAGTTTACATAGTTGCAATATTAGCTTAATAAAGATTTCGAATAGATTTATCTAGAGTAATACCCGGATCTTTTTTAAGGTTCTGAATCATAAACCCATGACATTTTGATAAGGAGCACTATAGGAGAGGATACTATAATTAGTGGTATGCGGTATTTAACCAATTTATTTCATGCCGATTAATATAATCTTATGAACTTGAAAGCAACAAATGTTTCTTATTTTCGAGTTTTTAAATATGTTGTCTTTAAGCCGTTAATCTAAAAAATATAGAAGCATCAATTCATGTGATGTCTCGTAGCAAATCAAAAATTTTGATTTTAGCCTTTGTGGCGTGAGCGCCATAACCAAATAAAATTATTGAGTGTAACAAAACATACTGATGTAGTATATTTACGGTGGATTTAGATATGACATAACGCCACTTTTTTTAGAATCATAAAGATTTATTCCAAGCACACCAACAATAAGTTATATTTAGAACGATCAGTATGATTAGGGATAATCGCGGTGTATTTACATATTGTGTGCAAAATAACGTCATTTTATAAATATATCAAAATTCCAAGAGAACCGAACAATTTCCACATTTAGTAGCTAAATAAATTTAATGGATTGTAACAATTTAGAAATTACGTCCAGGACCAGGAAAAATATAAATACAACGAGATTTCGAATTATTTCAAACCATCAGTTCAGCTTATAAAAAAAAGAAAAATTGATATTTAAAACATTAAAGCTTATAACTAGCAAAAATTTAATAACATGAGCGAATCCCAATCTAACTTTGTTAATCGTGCTTGCGTTTTCATAAATTCCGGAAACGGTCCCATGATTCAAAATCAGGTGATCGACAATCCGCAACTTATCAAACTTCCATTTCCACCAAAAATTAATTCACGTGATTTAGTTGTTTTCCATCCCGATGGTCGTGTTCCAAAAACTCCTAACGCCTTTATGATTTATCGAAAATTATTTGTCGAAACTGCTCGTGCAAGTGGTTATAACTTGCCAATGAATATCATCTCCCTAATGGTATCTCGTTCATGGGAACAAGAACCTGAAGAAATCAAAAATGAATATAAAAGAATCGCAAAAGAAGCTTTCAATTATCGTAATGAATTATTTCCTAAGATAAAACCTCAAAAGAAGAGGGATCAATGGAAAACTGTTTCATTCGATAAACCTTCAGTTCGTAAAACTAAAATTCCTAAACCTATGAAATCTGTCAATAAATCCACAAAACACAAACAACTCCAAGTTACTCCTAATAACGATTTATTAGCTTCCAATTTTGATCATTTAAGTGATTTAAGTGATTTAAGTGATATTGATATGAATTCACCAATTTTTGACCTTGATTTATTTACTGGTTGGGCAGATTTCTTTAGCAATCAAAATACTTATTCGAGTCCCGACTTATCAATAACTTCTAGTAGCAATAATTCTCCTAGTTCAGATAATTTCGATTTTTCAGTTCAACAAGTCAACGATGATGTCATAAACAACCATTTGCTCATTGGTGAAAATCAATCTTCCATATATGATGATCAATACGGACTTGGAATTTTCGATTTCTCTAACGTTAACTTTAACGTTAACATTAACGTTAATGAAATTTCCGAAATAAATTCACATAATTTACATGAAATATTTTATATTCAGAACAATTGTATTTTAGATGATTTAGTCACCAATTTTGATGACCAATTATCTTTCTTGCCTAATTTATCAAATACAACAACAATATATCAAGATAATTTAAACGATGCATTAATTGCTTATGAGATGGGTTTTAATTACCCTATCTAAAAAATTTTCTTATTTTATAATATTTTAATATTTATTAAATTTTAACACATACTGTATGTAGACTAAGCTTTATGAATATTTATGCCTCTATGCTATTATGCTTCTTATGAAATATATTTTGTATTAATTCTAATTTCTATGCAACAATTATGAGGAAATTAAGACGTAAAATAAGCATTATTTGAAAAACAATTTTTATCTGTATATATATAGATTTAACATAAAATTATTTCTTTTGTATTTTAATTTGTTATAGATTTCTTTATTTACATATTAATAATAAATTTATAAATTTGTTTGATTGAAAAATATATATATGTACTTGTAAAAGTGAAATTTAAGTCTTGATGATTATTTAATAATTGGCTGAATAGTTATACAATATCTTTGTATGTGTATGCAAGTTAACTTATTTCATCTTTCTCCCGTCTATTTTCAAAAGTTTTCCGGTTAATATTTTAATATTTTTATAAGTTCACATGATTAATTTTGATTCGCCACCTTATATATTGCAAAAAATATTCGAAAATATTATTATTTTATAATGTTTAATTAGAATTCGAGTTGCAGATAAGTATACAATATTGAGCAATTTATGATCATGATTGGTAGGGAGTCATCGACTGAGTTTTAATTTGAATAAACATTATTACATCGTAACATATGAAAAAAAAATAATAAGACAGATGGCAATTCACGATCATAAGAGTTTGCCGGATAACTTTTTTGAGTGGCATTAAATCTCGAATTTAATGTGCCATTGAAAACCAGAACAATGAATATTCTCAATTCCTCCAGAAAATTATGAGCGGTCTTGTATGTGATGGTAACTTATTATGATGCTGCCAAAACTGGTTCAAGGTAGATTCGAATCGATGAATGTTGAATGTCAGTTGATTATAAGATTTTCAATTTTCGAATATTGGTGAAAATTTTTGACCGGATATTTAAATATTTATCAAGATTTAAAATATACATATTAGGCAGCACAAACTTATACTATTGATTATCATTCACTAATCATAAAAAAGCTTTTTTCATAAAATTTTTATTTAAAAATTTATTGACACACAACCAGAATACCCAGTATAAAATTTTATGATATACTAACGGATTCTGATTTATTATTTTCGCAAAATTAGAAGCATTTTACATAATACATAATCTAAAATAAAATCATGGGAACGTAATATAATATCTCCAGACTCATATTAAGAATCCAAGTGTAGCGATGAATTGTCTACTCTTTGTAAAAATATTATCCAATTATCAATTACCTTATGCAATCTATTGTTTATCTTGTCAATTGATTAATTTTATGTATATGTATCAGAGCCAGTGAATACTTCTGTTATTAAATTGTAAATTATTTATCACGTTATCACTAATTATCTCATTTTATTATACTATATTCAAGCAATCTAATTGGTCAATATTTGCAAGCAATTTATTTTAATAATGTAATCTTAATTTCTAACTTTGATTATTAAATATTACATTGTAAAAAATTTAAGGGATTCAGTACTTAAATTGTGTTTATTATCATTTAAAACTTTGCTTAACAGTACAAGCAGAAATTGGTAACTAGATATGGACTGTGTTTTGAGAAAAGAAACCAAATTAATAAAAAAAGCTTGGTGGAAAATTGATTTTTATATTATAAATTTTATAATAAATTAATAAAAAAAAAGTTGGGTGGAAAAATGATTTTATATTATAAATTTTATAATAAATTAATAAAAAAAAATTTTGGTGGAAAGTTGATTTTTATATTATAAATTTTATAATAAATTAATAAAAAAAAGTTTGGTGGAAAGTTGATTTTTATATTATAAATTTTATAATAAACTATAAGAAATACAGAGAGACTTTAAAAGAGCTACGGTACAAAATTTTATTAAAATAACAGAATTTGTTTCATAGATAAAAAATGCTCTCGAGTTAATTTTGAATTAGTTAGGTTTAAAATTTTTTTTGAAAAAATTGTCAATTTGATCCCTTTTCTTAGATCACAGCTAGTGTTCCGAAAAAAGATCCGAACGGATCCGAAATTTTTAATGAGTATTAAAGTAGCATTTTACAAAGGATACTCGAACTAAATATGTACATATAATTAATATGGAAAACACACTACCAGAAACAGGCTCTACTTGCCTTTCACATGCACCTTTAGCCAGTAAAAGTCTTTCAAACTCGCTACAAAAACCGGATCTGAACGAACAGTTTTGGGGGACCCGCCAATGGCGACAGAAGTGTGTGAGAGGCAAATGGTGCCTATTGCCGATAGTGTGTTTTCCAAATTAATTATACGTACAGTTACAGTTCTGGTACCTTTTGTGAAATGCTAAATTTATACCCGTCAACAATACCGGATTCGTTCGGATCCTTTTCTGCGACACTAATCACAGCCCATATAATAATAAGCAATTTTTTCTAAAAAAGTAGAGTTTCAACCCGGATAAATCTGTCATCCATTCCTATAAAAAAATGTTGATCTGTGTTTATTATTTCATGAATGTTTTATTTTCATGGAATTTATAACAAATCATGGAATTTTCATCTCCCTAACACGGATGTTCGTAAATGTATCATTTTCATGGAATTTTACGGAGGCCACGGAGAAATAATGGAAAAATTCGGATAAAAATTTTTTATAGGAATTTATCCATATCTGAATTTATCCGGATTTTTGTTTGCTATTGATATCCGGATAATCTATTCGGATAAATTATTCGGATATCAATAGTGAATGGATATCCGGATAATCTATTCGGATAAATTATTCGGATATCAATAGTGAACGGATATCCGGATAAATTCAGATCGGATATTTGGATAACGGATTACAGATATATGGGTAGACGGTTAATGGATTAGAACTCTATAAAAAAGGAATTGTAAAGAAACCTTATTCCAAAATTTATTTAGTTTTATATAAATTCTATAGCACTCAAATTAATATTACAATAAATTGCCTATTTTTGAATAAGAGATGAAATGATAATAAATTTACTAGTTCTTTAATAATTTAACAGAAATAAATATATCCTAATTAGCTATTGTTAATTTTAAAAAATCATAGATCAAAATTTAACCGCTTTAAACAAAGAACATGCAGAATATTGTAATATAAGATCTTAAAGTTTTTTATATATTGTATTATGAAATATGAAAATAAATAATATTGAAATGTATTTAATTTTTGTAATACTGTATCAATAATTGACCCAAAATTAGTTGATGATTTTTTCAAAACTATTCATGCTTCAAGTTGTTACAATTTTGGTTCAATAAAAATAAATATTAGTTTAGTTCCTTGTTAAAAAATCTAGATTAGCCACAAAATATACTGTATTCTCTTGAATAAATATAAATAAATTTTTATATGACTATTTACTTGTTGATCAGCAAAAGTAGTGTTCCGCAAAATAGATTAGAACGGATCCGCTATTTTTAATGGGTATGAAAGTAGCATTTTACAAAGTGTACTTGAACTAAAACTGTACATATAATTAATATGGAAAATACACTACTGACAACAGCAGTTCACAAACTAAAAAAGGAAATCGAATTACTAAGTGCGTAAAGATAGAAGTTTAGGGTTAGGGAGATAACATTAGAGGCTATAACAATAGATTGTTATCTGTTATATGTAAATTTCGTTCCCCGACATTTTTAATTAGTGTACCAAGGTCGATTTAAACAATAGTTTTTGAGTAATTTCGCTTTTTTCTTCCTTTGCACGTGTTCGGAATTCATGTCGGGCTGATCCCGAACAGTCAAATTTTGTGCACTCCGATTGGCCATTTCCTTTTTAGGGTTGTATTACTCGCGCAAATTAGTGTGTGCCCGACAACAGGTTCCACTTATCTCTAACGTGTACCTGTAGCCAATAGCAGGCTTTCAAACTCAATGCATAAACCGGATCCGGATCCGAATTTATGGTTTTTGATAGTGATAGTACCCGATCAAAAAAAATGCTACCCGGTTATCCGACGGGTAAACCCGCAGATTACCCGGGTGATCGACAGATATATCCGGATATAAAATCTTACCCGATGTACCCGGGTAAAATTACAGCTGTTCTCATAAACTCTGAAAAATTTGGCAAAAGTTGACTGACCGAATATTTGCCGATTAGTGATAAACTTTTGATTCGGATGTAATTACATCCGAATCAAAAGTTTATCACTGCTAAATAAAGCTTATCGAATCGGCAAATATTCGGTCGAACAACTTTTGCCAAATTTTCCAGAATTTATGAGAACAGCTGTTATTACAGCTATTATCATAATTTCTGGGACACCTGCTCATTACCCGAAATCTTTTGGTCGTTCGGTAAACATCTATTATCAATATTTCTGGGACACCTGAAGAATTTTCAGATGACCGAAATATCCTCTGTTTCATTCGGTCAATTATCTAGCTCTCTGGAAATTACGTCGCTGTCTTCAGACTGAAGGTCCAAAGACAGAGATGTAGTTGCCGAAAAGTTAGATAGTTTACCGAATGAAACAGAGGATATTTCGGTCATCTTAAAATTCTTCAGGTGTCCCAGAAATAATGTTAATAGCTGTAATAGCTGTAAATAAAAATCTGCCGAATAATTTTTCGGTCGTTCTGGTTAATTATTGATTTTGGTATAATCGAATCTTCTATACAACTATCGGGCTCTTTTTATATTTAGCTTTGATAATTCAACCCAGATATTCAATTCGGATATGCTTATCCAGGTATTATCTGGGTATGCTTATCTGGGTATTATCCGGGTATGCTTATCCGGGTAGCTGAGTTCATAACCCGGATATCCGATTATCTGCGGATAACCCGGGTGATACCAACCCGAGTACCATCACTAGTTTTTGAAGACCTGCTACTGGCGATAGACAACTGGAGTAGTGTGTTTTCCATAATAATTATATGTATAGTTTCAGTTCTGATATCCTTTGTGACATGTTACATACACACCCATTAAAAATAGTAAATAGCGGATCCACTCGGATCTTTTTGCGGAACACTAAGCAAAAACTAAATTAATTTGCTTAATTTTATACTATTTATTTAATACGAAAAAGGTTAGAAGTTTAATTTATAATTATTGCTGCAGCATTATAATTATGACAATAAATCATTTGACATGTAATCGACGTCGCTGGTACATACATTTCCTATTTAAAATGGTCTAAAAATTATTTGTGCATGTAGATCATTTTGTCATATGAGTGTCGCTAAAAGAAAACCCGAAAATTTAAATATAAGTCATATTTAAATTTTCGTGTTTTCTTTTAGCGACACTCATGTGATTTTTATAAAAAAAAATAAAAATAAGCTACTAAAAAAAACTTTTTACTGTCACAGTTAATTTTTGTTAAATTTTTACGATACATGTAGATTAGATAAAAAATTTACTTGTATATATATCATAAGTTTTCCGAGGAGACATCAAATTTTTCGGAATTGGACAAAAGCGGTGGTTTGATTGGTTTATATCATTTAATTATTTACAATCATAAAATTTTTTTTAATATTGAATATACGTTAAAAAAATTTATCACCAAAATCATATAAAAATGATCTACGTGCTCTACCCTTAATGTTATATGTGAATCTGCGTGAATCGGCCAAATTTGTATAAGCTTATTAATATAAAATTGTTGTCCGAAATATAGCAAGGACTTATATGTCTTAGCAATTCAAATGCAACCTCATGATAACATAAGAACTTACTGAAAACGTTTTTTTAATGATTTGCAAAATTTATAAAAGTTAACTAAATTCGTAAATAATCGTATGTAGATAATGATTTGATTTTCCAATACAATTTCTTACCAAATAACTTTCGCTATAAAATTTAACATAATAATCCAAAAATGGAATTTATCATAAATGGGAACAAATCAGGATTTACTAAAAAATTGGGATTAAAATGTAAGGTCATATGAAAAAAATTCGGTCATAAACCCTTATAAGATTAACATTTTGTCTAGATGATCTTAAAAATGTTATATAAATGCCTTACATTCGTTTGAATTAATTAAAATAATTAGAATTCTTTTAATACCTACGTTTACTTTAATTCTGAATTCACAAATCATTTCTTCAAGACAAATATAGTAAATATGAAGTCTGCCTTGGTTATTATATTTTCTTTTCTTTTCATGGCCATAGCTGTTTATTCTAAGCAAATCCCAATAAGGGAAGCTTTGCTTATACCACTCGACATTAAGAAACATGATAAAGAAAATAATAAATATATAGTTAACAGTTATTGGCAAGCCTTTAATTACAATGCCGATGGTATGTATGTCAGAAAAATCCACTTATACTCCATAAATCTTAATCCTAAAGCAGTTACAAAAAATATAAAGTTTTAAATAAGCCAAATTTTCAGCATCACTTTAAGAAACACTTTACGCATCAACTGCTACAATATGTTTATACTTGCATCTTATATTATTAATAATATTTATAAAATTTTTAGAGAAAGTCAAATCTGTACTCGAATGTGAAGATTCTGTAACGATTGATAAACCCAGTCAGGTAAAGATGATTAATTCGTTATATTCTCTTTTACAGCCAATTTTTTAAACCTGAAATTCATTACAAATAAATTGTAGTTATTAAATGTAAATAAATACGGGGCAACCTATGAGCTAACCATTCCCAAGAACACCAAATCCGGAACCGTATTTTCTTGTAGAAGATATCTTGATGACAGATATAATAGATTCGCTACATTCAAATTCGTACATCAGTAAAACTTGATTGAAGTACAATATTAATTAGTTTATATTATCAATAACTTCATATTGGCTTTTATCTAATTTAATCGTTCTCAATGTCTAATCATCCATTTGCACTGTATCTTCCTGTGGCAATATGATTTGCTGCTTTTTGTAAATCTGTTCTATAAATGTTGTAAGTTCATTACATAAAAATTATAATCGTATCTATAATAAAAAATGAATAAATACTACTTTCAAATATTATCTAAAGAATCATTGATTGGTAGATGGGTTCCAAGTGTTGATTTACAGTGTTTCAAAATGTTACAGCTGTTTTCATAAATTCTGGGACACCTGACAAAAATTTGCCCAATGAATTTTCGGCCGATTCGATTAAGTTATTGATTTCGGCAATGATCGGTGTATGGTAGATGTGCACTAAAATCAGGAACGTAGAAACGATATTTAATAGTTATCCGGTAGTTACTATTCATATTACGGTATATCAACGTCTATTCCACATTCGGACTGATTCGGAATCTTAATTTATTATTGCTCGGTTAGATGACTTTATATAAAACACAATGCTTAACTTTATTTAACAAAGCTGAAAAACATATGGGATAAGGGCTCGCTACCCTTGGCGGCTCTAAATACATCATCAATACTCCAAATATGGAGTAAACAATTAATCAAATGAAAAAAAACTCTTTCCATAGATCAATTTTACCAAAACCAGAGCAAAAAGAAAAAACCCTGAAGAAAGAAAACTCAAGAAAGTATTAACTAAACAGATTACAGGCCCTTAAGTAAACTTGTCCATCATAGCTGAAAACATAATAAAACAATAAGCTCTTCTAGACATTTACATCAAAACAACTACTGGATGAAAGACAAATAGACAACATTCTTTACAACTTTCTACCCACAAGTGGCGAAGGTTCTATGAACTTGTCAACCCCACCTTAGGAAACATCTCAGGACAATATGTAAACTGTTGACAGCAGTACAAGTAATAGTCAAATGCAAGCCTCTACACAACAGACACCCAATACTTCCGGACAACAAAGTGGGTTCTTTAGTTATCTTATAGCTTATTTCTCTTGCAAGACAACTAGCCCAAAGGCTACAACAACTACTAGTATATAACAAAAGAACCCAACAGCAGAATGTACCAAAGAATTTTTAATATTACTATTAATGACTAGGCAAACTTACCTTTACTGTCACCTTTATCATCCCTGACTTCGCAGATAGATACTTATTCACCATTGACCTTACCAGGTCAGGACACATTCCAAATTTGGTCAAATTCCTAGCACAATGGATATGCAAATACAACAATGTTACTTAATCAATTCTATTTGATTTTACAAACTACTCCAAACATAACTTTGTAAACATTAATGCCAAACTACCCAAAAGTACTCACAGCTGTGACTTAGGGGTAACAATTAAAGCATATGAAGACACATAAAGAGCTTATATGACACCAAAATATTCAACGGAACTACCAATAGTTCCCTATAATCTAATATCAGAAATTGATACAAATGATGATGGTTACCAAAATAAGGAGACAAATAATACAACAAATGCTACATCTATCCTCCAAAAGATTATAACTAATACTAATATCCAAACAGTATATGGTAATACAATAGCTTCCACAAGCAGAAACAAAACTAACAGTTATACAAATTGAGCTAATAAATGCTCATCTACACAAGCCAATAAATTAACAAGTAATATAGCTGATTACATAGTATACAGACCAACTGTACAGTTAGTTGAAAATTAGAAAGGAAAAAAATGGGCCAGGCTACAACCAATCATTACTGATTCAACAAACATACCTCCTTCTATCCACTCACCTTCTACAATCTCACCTACACATTCAGCTGCTACAATAGATCTTAACCCTATTCAAATACCATCCTATAGTGAGATTATCATATAGTATGGAATAGGCAAATCATATACAAAACAAGATAGCAGAAGGAACTAAAACACTATTTGACCAACAGCTCTGGTCATATAACACAATAGTAACAGCTCTACAAACTGCAGCTGGTATTCAACAGTTTGTAGAATACAAACTTAGTACTATTCCAACTCAAATAGAAATGCCTTCAGCAATACAACTAAAATTCAAGCACCAGAATAAAAGATTTTTTACTACATTTACAAGAAATGCTAATACGATGCCAGCACATCAAAAAGAATATGCAAATCCATATAATGATACAATCAGAAATTATAAAACCTCAAATCAAATTACAATCATTGACTGAGATACTTGTAATCTAATTTACTTAATGTTAAGAAAATGCTTATCTCACAATACCTGATAAATACAAATTTTGTAACGCTTACACCCTTTGCAATATTCAAACTAATTTATTACACTAGGAGTTTCTTACAGATCCAAAATGAAAATGAACATACACCTAAAGAAATCAAAACAGCAATTAACCAGACATTACAAAAAAAACTTACTCCATTATCAGAAAGGTTAGAGCAAATTCCAGATACAATCAAACAAATTTTACTATTCATTATCTATTACACAACGGTCACATACTAAAGCTATAGTCAATGAACTACAAAAAATCTTCAGATTCGATCAGCTTCCAGAGTCATATTTTGCTAAACTGCTACTACCATTGGAGGATATAACTAAAATCCATACTGAACTTCAGCTATATTTTCATATTACAAACTGACAAGCTCTTCAAAATCTGGGATACTATTGTCACAAACTTGCTGATTACTATACAGTTGACTCTATTCCCAAAGTATATTTCTAACTCCCGCTATCTAAACAGCCACTCCCTATAACATATCAAGAACTAAATTCAAAGGTTAGAGGATTCTTCTCCTATCACTTAGATGTAACAAATATACCACTAGCAGATGTAATAATGTTAGTATGACAGTACTATACATTCAAGCTCCTCTCTAATGATTATTTTGCAACTAAACCATTACTCCTCTCAAATTCAGAGCATATCAAAACTAGTTTACAATTCACCTTTCTAATTATAGACAATATTATAGCACAAAACTTTATACATAAAGCCTTACAGAATTATAGAATAAGATTTCTACTGCCACATAGTATCATGCAGACAAATCCTATCAACAAACCTAGTCTACCTACTAGTAACTAGGTTATAGCAGAACATAACATTACTATACCAATTATATCATCTTAGCAACTTATAGAAACTGCAAAACTTCTTTGTCAACATTATTATTTTACAAAAATACTAGAAGAATAAATAAAAATTCCAATTCAAGTACCTACAACTACCAACTCCAGTGATACAAATGCTATTGAATTACTCTAACCTTCAATACCAATCAATTTATAAAACATAAACACAGCTTTAGCCTCTTACAATATACAACTAACATTACTAATTACATCACAAACACTAATCACTTCTACTATGCAAACACTGCATCAGAGCTTTACAATTAAGGCTATCCCTAGCTTTTTACTTAAGTTACCTCCACTACCAACCCCATCCTGGGCAATAGTTCTCATGCAAATCCATCTTCCACCACTACTCCAGAGGTTAATACAATGCTGATGAATATGAATTAACTAACTCATGATAATACAATCTACAATTAAACCACTAACACAATGCTCAAGGACTTAATCAAATCACAAAAAGATAATTACTGTTTGACTACTGTTTAGTTTAAAATTTTAATATTATTTCAATTACAGAAACAAACTAGCACACTTCAGATATACAGATAGAAACCTATATAACCAGTACTATAAATGCTTTTCATCTAATAACTCAACTACAACTGCTCTAAACGCTAGAGAATCTAGTGCAGTGACAGCTATTCTAATAGCCCAACCACTCACAACATATATATACAATATCCAAATATTACCGAGTACTGCAATTGCAATTGATTTATTCTTTTCACATAAAAACAACTTCTGTATTATATCAGTATATTTACCAAAAACACATTTACAAACAATAATACTCAAGACAAGATTATCTATAAATTCAGCAAGCATACCAATCTCAGATCATACTGATAATTCTGGGGGATTTTAACCAAAATTTATATAAACAACAAAGATCAACACTATACAAATACTTTGAATTACACAATTTTATACCTTTATTTCATACTTACCACCCTCATTCACCTACTTAGGATAGAGATAACCTCTCTAGCCAAATCGATGAAATATGGATATTTCAACAAATTATGCATCTTGCCATGCAACCTACACTTACTCCTGCAATTCAGGTTACAAACAGTAATCACTATATTATATATACCAATTTGCAACTATATGTTAATCTATCTAAATGCCACAAGAAACATAAGTTTAAGGTTTATAAATATGATACTATGACAACTAAACTCTGAGAACAATTTCAACAGAATATTCAACATATCACCTCTCAAACTATAGAAGAAATAGCGAATACACTTTCAATCAATCAACTTTGGCATCAAATTAATACAGCAATTATCAAATCACAAAGGTACACATACTTTTCTTACAGAGATCACAAAAACAACACAATACCTTTTCACCTAAAGCAACAAAAATACTTATAGCACTAAACTTATGTAGTAGCATACTCTATATCTTAGTAATACTATATAAAAATCCCAACAACTACTTGCATAATCACAGCACTATACTCCAAGCAATTAATCAAAAAATTTACATAATATAGCAGCTATCCAATCTTCCTATTACAGATCTAGTTTTACAAGATATTAGTAGTGACAATATAACACTAACTATTAATATAATGAAAACACACCAGAAAATTCTATATTACACATGAGAGACAGAGAACCAACAGGCCTTCTTACAACATATCCATCAGTTCATTGAGAAAAAATATAACAATTTTACATCATATACTACAACAATGATCAATAGCATTCTTGATAGATGTATTGATACAGTAACATT